CTTCTTCATATGCCCGTACCTGGAACAATCGATGTACTTGGGGATCGATTTCTGGAGATCTTTTGAGTTGGCTCCAGTAGTTCTAGGCGACGAAAACAGCGAATCCAGTCACGCCCAAGTAGCTGAAGTCAAGATGTCCCAGATCAGCCACTATGCAGAAGATAGAAGACAATAAACGGAGGTAGAAGCATGGGACCTGAAAAAGAATAAACTGAGAAGTTGGAAAACGTGAAGAATGAATTTTTGACTTACGAAGAAGCCGGGCTAGGAACGACTGCAGCAGAACAGCACCATATCCAGTTGGTGGAAGGCGCAGTACCGTTTAAGGATCGTTGTTATCGCCTATCACCAGCGATGCAGGAAGTGGTCTGGAAAGAAGTAGACAAAATGCTAGAGCTAGGGGCTATAAAGGTTAATGACAGTCCGTGGAACAATAGAAACAGATTCTGCTTGGACGCGCGGAAACTTAACCAACTCACCGTAAAGGACGCCTACCCTCTCCGGAGTATCGAAGGCATATTATCTACGATCGATCAGACATATTAAATATCTAGCGTCGATCTTAAATTTGCATTCTGGCAAATAAAATTGGAACCGGAAAGCCGGAAGTATACCGCTTTCACAGTAGCCGGACGTCCACTTTACTAATTCGTGATGATGCCCTTCGGTCTCTGCAATGCTGCCCAAAGATTATTCCGACTGATGGACCAAGTCATTCCGACACAACTACGATCAAACGTATTTGTCTATCTGGACGATCTTCTGTTGTTAGCTCCTGACTTCCAGACGCATCTGCGATATCTCCGTTTGGTAGCAGAATGCCTGAAACGTCCAAATTTGACGATAGGGTTAAAGAAGTCTACATTTTGTTTCAAATATTTAAAATACCTTTGTTTTATCATCAATAAATAAAGATAAATTATACGATATCTGGACCACGTGCCACCGACTCCAGGCTGGACCACGGCAGGAAGAATTATTTCTTTAATCATATACCTTAAACCCGTTGAATTCACCGCACCACACTGGCACGGGATTTTTTTTTGTTGAATTTTTTTTTGTCGAATATAAAAACATCATTGCTCTACAAAATGTAGATTAACCTATATTAATTTATGAACACAGAATTAATGAAAGACTCAAAATAGTTTTTAAGTAAATCAAATTAAAAATATTCCCTCTTAATATTATTTAAAATTTCGTCCCGAATAATTTAAATAAAATTCGTTCGTCCACCTTAGTCTAAATTTATATGTTAATTTATTGAAAGATTTATGCACCACTAAACTAATATATCCCATATGCATATATCATATATTGTTTATTAACATATTTCTAAATATAACATTTCTAAATATTATAAGTAGTACTTGTAAGTAAGAGAGAAAATTTGATATAATCAAAATTTAGGGAAACAAAGAAAATAATATACATTAACATTAAATTACATATGTAAATTTTGCGGAGGTCTCGCAACAGTTGGGATGTAAAATAACGAATAAAGTAAATAACCTACACAACTATATGCGAATGTAAAAAAAAAATAAAAAAAGGCGAGAAAGAAAAGTCTCATGTAAATAAGTTTAGAAACTCCCCGAGATAAAAAGATCTCAGTATTACCCCTGGTTGGAGCTCCAAATAGGTAGGGAATTTAATTGTATAATTATGAATAAATCTATATTTTTATGTTCGTATATGGGTCAACAATGGTGTAATGAAGATTTAAATCAATTTCAAGGGAAGTGTTTTCGAATGAATTTGGCATCGCAACTGTAGCTAGGGGAAGCAAACAAATGCTAATAAATTAACTGAAGATATATAATGCAAGAAATGAAGATGAATGTTTATAAGTAATAATAAAATTGTAACGTGAGGATAATGTGTTAAGTGTTCGTCTATGGGGAGAGGGAAATGAGTCTGACCCTGGAAGTAGGCTGACGTAGCCGGCGAAAGGGAGATTTGGCGAAGGATGCATGCCGGATCTCAGGTAGGGTGGGGGTGTCGGAGTACATCACCTAAACTCCAATTTATCCAGCGCAAGTAAAGTCTCCAGTAACGTCCAATGTGTATCATTATTTATTATATTTTTGTTTGCATTTTATTTTTGTTTACATTTGATCTTGCTATGATGTCGTCGGACTGACATGGCCGATCAGCTGGGCTATTGTGCGGACTGAGGACTGGGAAGAATCCCACCATAAGACGGACTAGCTAGCCGGCCTTGCCCCATCAAAATAACAGGTCCGTAACAAACGAGTCGGATCGGACGACTATAGCATATAGCTCCGATAGAACAATCGGAAAAATAAATGCAAAAATTATAACTCTGCTGTTTTTAAATTTTTTTTAGTTCTTTGACATTTAGTAATGGTTAAATATTTTAGATGATTACTGATTAATTAATAATTTGACAGTTTAAAATACTCATTTAATTTTATTAAAATCGAAAAATGATATCATATAGCTGCCAGGAACTATCAATTAATTGAGCTGCAAATCATCATAGCTTCAATGTTTTTAAACGTATACGCAATTTTAATGTTTTCAAGAATATTTACTTTTTGCAAAAGCTGCAAGGTTCTATAAACTTTAGCTTGCCGAAGTTTGCTTCCTTTCTTGATTAATTAACATTTTTTAATATTGGTGTTTAATAATTAAAAATAATATATATATATATATATATATATATATATATATATATATATATATATATATATATATATATATATGTATATATATATATATTTATATAAATATAATTTTATGTATGTTAGTTCTTGTTTAATTTTCTTTATTTAAAGGCCGCAGCTGGAATTAGTTATCGATAAATATACATACACATATGTACACCTGTGCTAATAGTAGTTTTTAAAGTTTTTTTCAAAATTAAAGTAAATTAATTTAGATTAAACTTATAAAATACTTTATATATTTTTGTAAGGGTAGGTGGAACAAATAAACAAATCTTAATTTTTTAATTGTTAGCCGGCTCGAGGTTAGGACGTTGAAAAAATAACACAATTTTTTTAATTTTGGTTATTTGTCAATATATTTCGGATGCTCTTCGGCAACCGTCTTCAGTAAAAATTTGATTTACACGTCTGCATCCGGTGACGTGGAGTTGTTAACAAGACAAGACTTAGTTACAAAAATGGGGTTATTTTTTTCAACATCCTGATCTCGAGCCGGATAACAATTAATATTCTTTGGAAAGGTCGCCAAAACTAACTAGACTTAATTTTTTATTTAAATAATATTTTAATGAAAATGATTAAATAATTTTTATTGTACCAAAATCTTAGATAATCACAAATTGTTTCACCATTACGAAGTGCATACAATATCAATCCAAGGTATTTCTTAAATTTAAATTACTATTTTAAGTCAAAGGGTAAACTTTTAATAATATATAATATATTTAAATTTTATTCGAAAACTAAAACAATTTATCCAATGTTGTCTATTGGTAAGATATTATTGTAAACACAAGTGTACGTAATTAACATATGTATTTAAATGGAAACACCATGTGGAGGCCATTGGAATTCCGATAGAGTCTTCAATGAAGTTAGTCGACTTGAGATTCAAAAATGCTTTAAATATATTTATTTATTTTTTTTTTTAATTTATATTTTCCCACACCTAACAATGCCTCCTATATTGATATAGTTTATTAATATTAAATCGCGGTGCACAGGTAATAGCAAACACAATGAGGTTGTTTAAATGTTCGATCTCGTCAATATATAAACTAGGTTAACCATCTTTGTTTATGTTTTGTTGAGCCAAAGCTGTTTAAATGTGGAAATCGGAGATCACACTTTTAAGAAATCCCAACGGTTTTTCAGGGAGGGGCTGCGTGAAAAGAAGGTTAGGCTGAAAAACCTCTGCTCAAAGTCCGTCAAGGACCAAAAATTTGCCAGTTCTAGCCCCTTCCCACCGAGATTCTTCCACCATCCGTTGAACGGATGCGAAACGTAAGTCCACCTTCATAACCGGGAAATTTTTGACACGGCAAAACCTTACGGAACATCATTGAAAAATATGGTGGATGGACCTCTGTGGGACTAGGCCATTACCGCGAAAAAAATCAAATGCCTGCCGGCCATCTCAATTTCTGTGAACTAGAGGGGTAGCCGTAAGGGATGTGGTGGTTCAAAACAGATGTAAGTCGTTATTGAAAAATTAGGTGAGCTTTCAATCATAATTTTATACAATTTGAACAAAATAAAGGAAGGTAATACTATATTATAGCGGCTTACGGCCCTCTATCTGTTGACGACTGTTTTGTCGGCCATTAAAATTAAAAACCAAAGTTGGGTTTGGGAGGTTAACGCTTGCCAAGGCAGCGGGTTGTATATAGAATAGATGTTAGTTACGTTATAAGAGTAGGTAAATTGAGCAATAGAAGTCTATTATATACATTTCAAATCACTTAGGACAAGAAAACATTTTTGAACCCCCACAATAAGGTCTAGGAAAGCAATATCCCAAATGAAAAACCATTTAGTTCAGTGGTCGGCATACTTACTATAACTGTAACTGTAACTATAATTTGCACCGCCAGTCTTTCAGTGTGTGTGCGGTTTTTTACTGTTCGTGTCGGCCTCTGCCGCTGCGCTGCTGCTGCTCTGCCGGCAGGACCTTCGACTATGCTCACAGTAAAGAAGACGTGCCGACCACTGATTTAGTTGTATAAAGATTATCAAACCCTTGTCGCTTAACCCACCTGTCGAAATGAAATTTTGAGTCAAGAAGAACTCATAAATCCCGGGAGCTCAAAGCAACATTAAGGGAGTGCTTTTACAAACACAGTTAAAAAAAACTTACGCACTCATTCAACGAAGTCAGTGTAGAGTTGAGGAAAATACATAAGCAGCCTCGGTCAGCAAGCTTAGAGATAGAGAGAGACAGATATAAAGTCCACCCTAACGTTCAGTTAACGATATCTGAACCACCCAATCACTCAAGTGACCAGCAATTGATTTCAAACTATATACTTTACCATTTTACAATATGTATTTATAAGTCAACCACTTATTCATAATTGGACAAAAACCATTTCCAATTAACCGGATTCACTGCTATACTAACATATTGGAAATGCGACCCCATACGTTATTTTACAAGAGCAAATGTAGGCCATTCCGTGAAATTGATCTGAATGTGTTTTTGGAAAACCTTTATGGATGAAATGAAAATTGAAGGATTTAAATCATTACGGAAAATAGTTATGGATCTAATTCACTAATTTAAATTTTAATATTTAAATAAGAAACAGAGAGCTCAAGACACTAGGTGTTGGAAAACCTAAACCATTATCAGAAATTTGAGTAGTAGTAGTTATAAAAGTGTCATCAAAGCTGTATGCGTCTGAATTATTAAACGGGGTGAGCAGAGGGATGAAGCGATGGATCTTAGATAAGTAGTTGACGGTAAGGTTCGTGGGTCAAAAAGAAATTTAAATGAATTAAATGGAGGAGTGGATCAAGGGTTGTTTCACAGGTGGACGTGATCACTTAATTAGCATTATTGGCTTCACAAGCATACGTGGTCACACAACTGAAAAGTCATTGTAAATTAGATCTAGAGAATGTGGCGAGGAGAGGGTAAAAAGGATTGGTATATTACACTTACAAAATGTCACAATGAAATGTAGTTTCACACGTGCACGTGGTCACTTAACTGCCATAACTTATCCGCGATCACATCCGGAAAAATCTTCATCAAGCATATGAACGCAGCAGCCAGCGCTATAACAAACGGGCTCGAGTTTTCCATGCTAAGCCTGGCCAAGAAATCTACAGACGCAATTTCACTCAGAGCAATTTTGGAAAGATGTACAATGCCAAGTTTGCTCGAAAATATGTGAAATGCCGAGTCGTACGCCCTATAGGGAACAATTCCTACAAATTGGAGGATCTGCGGGGAAGCCTGTTGGGATTTTTCACGCAAAAGACCTAAAAATGTAAATATAAATAGTGGATGTAGTTGTACACGTACCACGCATACTTACATACATACCTGGGTAGCAAAACAAAAGTCTAGTGGGTTTAGGCCTACGTTGGGCACAAAAGGCCAATGGGGCAATTGGGGGCAAGGCAGGATAACAAAGTTGTTGTTTTGATTATTAAAAACAATATAGGAACAATTTCACGGCAAGCCAATCTTTCTATGTTTACAAATACTTCGCTTCGGCCGGCATTCTCGCGAATTTTTGTGTGGTGTTGCAATTGAAAGCTATCGATAGGGAAATATCGCCCTAGGAGATGGCAGTGTGACCAGTTTTTCAAAGGTTGGCAGGGCCAAGAAAGGGAGGGGAAGTATGGAAAGTAAGAGGCGCTCTGGTGGACGATCAGGAAAGAGAACCTTAATCCGCTCTTAGATTCCACCACCTCCCCTGGCCCAGAAGTATCTCCACCCACATCAAACCATGAGGAACTGCACCCACACCGATAGCTGAATGAGAGCCGAGCGACTACGCGATGCAAATGAAAGAGGTTTCTGCCGTTGGAGAAAAACCGAGAAAGTGTTAAAAAAAAAAAAAAAAAAAAATCGGGTGATGCTGGTGCTGGGCAGAGGGTATATATAGGGCTGAAAGGGGTCAGGCCACCACGAGTTCCCAAAAAATTTTATAGATTGTGGTCCGGAAAATGTATAGTGAAAAAAAATAAAATATAAAATTAAAAGTGAGTTAGATGATGGGGTAGTGGCCATCAGTCTAAAGTGTAGTATCAAGGATAAAACAATATACATCTTCAGGAAGGGAAGACGGGACGAGTTTGGACGACGTAAGCGGGAAATCGGCAGCCGGGACCGCAAATAGAAGGCACCATCAACGAAAAAGTAAGTCCGTTCCAAAGAGAAAAATTACTAAAAAAAATAAGGGAAAATAAATCGAAAATTTTCCGGTTGGGGTCACCGTTGGCGAAATTAATAAACACATAAAATAAATAAAGATAAATTATACGATATCTGGACCACGTGCCACCGGCTCCAGGCTGGACCACGGCAGGAAGAATTATTTCTTTAATCATATACCTAAAACCCGTTGAATTCACCGCACCACACTGGCACGGGATTTTTTTTTGTTGAATTTTTTTTTTGTCGAATATAAAAACATCATTGCTCTACAAAATGTAGATTAACCTATATTAATTTATGAACACAGAATTAATGAAAGACTCAAAATAGTTTTTAAGTAAATCAAATTAAAAATATTCCCTCTTAATATTATTTAAAATTTCGTCCCGAATAATTTAAATAAAATTCGTTCGTCCACCTTAGTCTAAATTTATATGTTAATTTATTGAAAGATTTATGCACCACTAAACTAATATATCCCATATGCATATATCATATATTGTTTATTAACATATTTCTAAATATAACATTTCTAAATATTATAAGTAGTACTTGTAACTAAAAGAGAAAATTTGATATAATCAAAATTTAGGGAAACAAAGAAAATAATATACATTAACATTAAATTACATATGTAAATTTTGCGGAGGTCTCGCAACAGTTGGGATGTAAAATAACGAATAAAGTAAATAACCTACACAACTATATGCGAATGTAAAAAAAAATAAAAAAAGAGAAAGAAAAGTCTCATGTAAATAAGTTTAGAAACTCTCCGAGATAAAAAGATCTCAGTATTACCCCTGGTTGGAGCTCCAAATAGGTAGGGAATTTAATTGTATAATTATGAATAAATCTATATTTTTATGTTCGTATATGGGTCAACAATGGTGTAATGAAGATTTAAATCAATTTCAAGGGAAGTGTTTTCGAATGAATTTGGCATCGCAACTGTAGCTTGGGGAAGCAAACAAATGCTAATAAATTAACTGAAGATATATAATGCAAGAAATGAAGATGAATGTTTATAAGTAATAATAAAATTGTAACGTGAGGATAATGTGTTAAGTGTTCGTCTATGGGGAGAGGGAAATGAGTCTGACCCTGGAAGTAGGCTGACGTAGCCGGCGAAAGGGAGATTTGGCGAAGGATGCATGCCGGATCTCAGGTAGGGTGGGGGTGTCGGAGTACATCACCTAAACTCCAATTTATCCAGCGCAAGTAAAGTCTCCAGTAACGTCCAATGTGTATCATTATTTATTATATTTTTGTTTGCATTTTATTTTTGTTTACATTTGATCTTGCTATGATGTCGTGGGACTGAGATGGCCGATCAGCTGGGCTATTGTGCGGACTGAGGACTGAGAAGAATCCCACCTTAAGACGGACTAGCTAGCCGGCCTTGCCCCATCAAAATAACAGGTCCGTAACAAACGAGTCGGATCGGACGACTATAGCATATAGCTCCCATAGAACAATCGGAAAAATAAATGCAAAAATTATAACTCTGCTGTTTTTAATTTTTTTTTAGTTCTTCGACATTTAGTAATGGTTAAATATTTTAGATGATTACTGATTAATTAATAATTTGACAGTTCAAAATACTCATTTAATTTTATTAAAATCGAAAAATGATATCATATAGCTGCCAGGAACTATCAATTAATTGAGCTGCAAATCATCATAGCTTCAATGTTTTTAAACGTATACGCAATTTTAATGTTTTCAAGAATATTTACTTTTTGCAAAAGCTGCAAGGTTCTATAAACTTTAGCTTGCCGAAGTTTGCTTCCTTTCTTGATTAATTAACATTTTTTAATATTGTTATTTAATAATACTAAATAATATATATATATATATATATATATATATATATATATATATATATATATATATATATATATATATATATATTTATATAAATATAATTTTATGTATGTTAGTTCTTGTTTAATTTTCTTTATTTAAAGGCCGCAGCTGGAATTAGTTATCGATAAATATACATACACATATGTACACCTGTGCTAATAGTAGTTTTTAAAGTTTTTTCAAAATTAAAGTAAATTAATTTAGATTAAACTTATAAAATACTTTATATATTTTTGTAAGGGTAGGTGGAACAAATAAACAAATCTTAATTTTTTAATTGTTAGCCGGCTCGAGGTTAGGACGTTGAAAAAATAACACAATTTTTTTAATTTTGGTTATTTGTCAATATATTTCGGATGCTCTTCGGCAACCGTCTTCAGGAAAAATTTGATTTACACGTCTGCATCCGGTGACGTGGAGTTGTTAACAAGACAAGACTTAGTTACAAAAATGGGGTTATTTTTTTCAACATCCTGATCTCGAGCCGGATAACAATTAATATTCTTTGGAAAGGTCGCCAAAACTAACTAGACTTAATTTTTTATTTAAATAATATTTTAATGAAAATGATTAAATAATTTGTATTGTACCAAAATCTTAGATAATCACAAATTGTTTCACCATTACGAAGTGCATACAATAATAATCCAAGGTATTTCTTAAATTTAAATTACTATTTTAAGTCAAAAGGTAAACTTTTAATAATATATAAAAAACTAAAACAATTTATCCAATGTTGTCTATTGGTAAGATATTATTGTAAACACAAGTGTACGTAATTAACATATGTATTTAAATGGAAACACCATGTGGAGGCCATTGGAATTCCGATAGAGTCTTCAATGAAGTTAGTCGACTTGAGATTCAAAAATGCTTTAAATATATTTATTAATTTTTTTTTTAATTTATATTTTCCCACACCTAACAATGCCTCCTATATTGATATAGTTTATTAATATTAAATCGCGGTGCACAGGTAATAGCAAACACAATGAGGTTGTTTAAATGTTCGATCTCGTCAATATATAAACTAGGTTAACCATCTTTGTTTATGTTTTGTTGAGCCAAAGCTGTTTAAATGTGGAAATCGGAGATCACACTTTTAAGAAATCCCAACGGTTTTTCAGAGAGGGGCTGCGTGAAAAGAAGGTTAGGCTGAAAAACCTCTGCTCAAAGTCCGTCAAGGACCAAAAATTTGCCAGTTCTAGCCCCTTCCCACCGAGATTCTTCCACCATCCGTTGAACGGATGCGAAACGTAAGTTCCACCTTCATAACCGGGAAATTTTTGACACGGCAAAACCTTACGGAACATCATTGAAAAATATGGTGGATGGACCTCTGTGGGACTAGGCCATTACCGCGAAAAAAATCAAATGCCTGCCGGCCATCTCAATTTCTGTGAACTAGAGGGGTAGCCGTAAGGGATGTGGTGGTTCAAAACAGATGTAAGTCGTTATTGAAAAATTAGGTGAGCTTTCAATCATAATTTTATACAATTTGAACAAAATAAAGGAAGGTAATACTATATTATAGCGGCTTACGGCCCTCTATCTGTTGACGACTGTTTTGTCGGCCATTAAAATTAAAAACCAAAGTTGGGTTTGAGAGGTTAACGCTTGCCAAGGCAGCGGGTTGTATATAGAATAGATGTTAGTTACGTTATAAGAGTAGGTAAATTGAGCAATAGAAGTCTATTATATACATTTCAAATCACTTAGGACAAGAAAACATTTTTGAACCCCCACAATAAGGTCTAGGAAAGCAATATCCCAAATGAAAAACCATTTAGTTCAGTGGTCGGCATACTTACTATAACTGTAACTGTAACTATAATTTGCACCGCCAGTCTTTCAGTGTGTGTGCGGTTTTTTACTGTTCGTGTCGGCCTCTGCCGCTGCGCTGCTGCTGCTCTGCCGGCAGGACCTTCGACTATGCTCACAGTAAAGAAGACGTGCCGACCACTGATTTAGTTGTATAAAGATTATCAAACCCTTGTCGCTTAACCCACCTGTCGAAATGAAATTTTGAGTCAAGAAGAACACATAAATCCCGGGAGCTCAAAGCAACATTAAGGGAGTGCTTTTACAAACACAGTTAAAAAAAATTACGCACTCATTCAACGAAGTCAGTGTAGAGTTGAGGAAAATACATAAGCAGCCTCGGTCAGCAAGCTTAGAGATAGAGAGAGACAGATATAAAGTCCACCTTAACGTTCAGTTAACGATATTTGAACCACCCAATCACTCAAGTGACCAGCAATTGATTTCAAACTATATACTTTACCATTTTACAATATGTATTTATAAGTCAACCACTTATTCATAATTGGACAAAAACCATTTCCAATTAACCGGATTCACTGCTATACTAACATATTGGAAATGCGACCCCATACGTTATTTTACAAGAGCAAATGTAGGCCATTCCGTGAAATTGATCTGAATGTGTTTTTGGAAAACCTTTATGGATGAAATGAAAATTGAAGGATTTAAATCATTACGGAAAATAGTTATGGATCTAATTCACTAATTTAAATTTTAATATTTAAATAAGAAAAAGAGAGCTCAAGACACTAGGTGTTGGAAAACCTAAACCATTATCAGAAATTTGAGTAGTAGTAGTTATAAAAGTGTCATCAAAGGTGTATGCGTCTGAATTATTAAACGGGGTGAGCAGAGGGATGAAGCGATGGATCTTAGTTAAGTAGTTGACGGTAAGGTTCGTGGGTCAAAAAGAAATTTAAATGAATTAAATGGAGGAGTGGATCAAGGGTTGTTTCACAGGTGGACGTGATTACTTAATTAGCATAATTGGCTTCACAAGCATACGTGGTCACACAACTGAAAAGTCATTGCAAATTAGATCTAGAGAATGTGGCGAGGAGAGGGTAAAAAGGATTGGTATATTACACTTACAAAATGTCACAATGAAATGTAGTTTCACACGTGCACGTGGTCACTTAACTGCCATAATTGGTCTCATAGCTCATCGCAGAAATTTTCACGGTCACACAACAACAACACACACCCCCTTGAATAGGGTTACATTAAATATGGGACCCCCTTAAATATGGGATCCTATTGCTTGTCTCTGAAATTTTGATCTGAAAATCAAAAACGCTGCAAACAAACACCCACCCCAAGAACAACAAGTTCACACAAATTTGAATGTGGATCAAGATTTATGTGGAATTTTATTGATCTGAAAAACAAAAACGCTGAAAAAACAAATACCCGCCCTAATAAAAACAAATTCACACGAGTTTCAGTTAAAAATATATATTTTATTGTTTTGGTAAAAAATTGTTATAAAAATGTCATACAATTTTTAATTTCTTACAAATATTTATTTTATAACCTAAGTTTCTTAATTTTGTACGTTTTTTTAATAATTTGTAAGTTAAGACTATAATATTTTTTCATCATGTCCATGGCTTTCATCCTTAAGTTTGGTGCCTGATGACATCGGCACGTGTCCGGTCCCTCTCTAAAATTGTTTTTCTAAGGTAGACCGATGTTCCTCAAACATCAGGAATCTTTTAACATCTTCGCAAACCATAGTGTTTAGCTGCTGTTGTTACTAATTATTTTTTAGCTCTTGTTGTTGTTAACCATTGCTTAACTGTTGTATTTAGCTGTTGTTTTGTTCTTCTTTATTCCATTCCTTCCCATGCAATCAATTCGAATTTCTTATCTTACATTTAAGAAGGTGTTTTTTTTACAAAATGTCGTAGGAAAATAAGCAAACGCATTGTCGTACTTAATAAAGTTCAATAATAATCATACGTATAAAGTTCAATAATGAGTCTCAAAGTTTAGTGTTCTTAGGTTTTTTTGAAGTAAACTACCCCTTTTACTTGTCAAGTTTTTTTCATCAAAAGCTATTTTGAGATTGTGAAGGGCTTTTGTACAACCAAAATTATATATTTTTATAAAATAATTACATAACAAAACAATAAAAAAAACTAATATTGTAAAAAAGAGTTACTAAGCTCAAAAAATATTTAATCCTGTTGTCGTTTAATCTCATTAATTTCGAAACCCGAAATTGCTTTGCAGAATGCAATAACTAATATTCAAAATAACATTGACTTATACTGTTGATTTCGGCATTAACAAACTTTTCAAATAACTTTAGAAGGAGCTAAACCTATGGAGTTGATATTACTGGAGAGAAATTTTTATATAAATAGTAATTTTAGATTTTAGTGGAATGACATTTGACATTGGTCCTCTCTATCAATCTGGAGTTGAAAAGTCAACGTATATAAATATACTCTTCCTGAAGGGAGAACGATTTGGTCACTTAACATGGATAAAAAATATTTCAAGATCGAATTTCGGTCGTTATGTACCTTTTAACTTATTTAGTTACATTTTGTAAAGACCTGATTTATTATATCTTGCTCGCTACGTAATAATACAACAATCGTTATCGAATCGAATATACGCACTTTTGTAAAGCTCCGCTTTAAACACGGAAAAACACCTTAAACACGGATTAAAAAAACCAAAAACTGCTTAATGCAGTAGCATAAATAAGAGTAAAACACATAAAAATTCTTTTTGCCCGAAATAAATCGATTTTAAGCTATAAAAATCGCTTCTTAATAAATCAACAATTATAAGTGCAACAACAAATCATTAAAAAAAACAGTGCATAGCATAACACAAGAGCACAGAGAACACACTCAACACATCAAAGGACTCAACCGAAAAACTCTCGTCATTAACACAACACCAACTCAAAGAAGAAGAAAAACAAAACAAAACATGATTTTACCAGAAAGAAAACGTATGATTTTATTTCTGATAATTCAACACGGTTTTTTGGCTATAGGGACTATAAATCAATCAATTTCAACAACCTACTAACTGAATTTAAGAATTATGACTGGACAAACATTTATGACTTGACTTCGCCACAGGAGCATTCGACGGTTATTTGAACACTGTGTTCCATCCAGAACAAAAATACAAAAATTAAAAATCAAATTCGCCTGCGAGATAATGCCTACAAACGCTGGAAAAGGTATAAAACCTAAAGCCTGCACATCATTTTTATACAACTGAGAAACTTAGTCACAAGCTCGATCTCTTCTTCCAAACGTAGATTTTATAATTATAAATTTGCCAATGCAGTAACTCCTGGTCAAGTTTGGAAGGGTTTCAGAAGCCTGGGCATGGGAAAACGAAATGCAGTGGCTAAATCGGATCTTGATGTAGACTCCCTTAATAAGAAATTTTCAGATGTTCCTTCCGTCATTCCTACACATAATTTGTACCTGAACTCAACAACATCCTGTGATATTATTTTTAGCTTTATGTGTGTACGTTCATGTGATGTCCTTGAATGTATATGTTAACACTGTTAAGGAGTAATCATAAGTCGATACAGATCTTGGGTGATTATTGGATCATCCTAGTGTTTAGTTGCAAAATCAGCACAAACATCTTTAGGGTCCGTGCCTGGTTCTTGGCGGTGCACGGTATGGTGAGTTATGTTGATTTTGCTAGTGTCAGCACTTTGCTGCACGAGCGGTCGGCTTGCCGGCCGCGCATAGCTTACGTAAAGTCATATATGTTTTCAGTTTTAATTTGGACATTTAATAAAGAGCATTGGCTTGAATGTAAAACTCCGGCAGTGGCCGTCAACACTTACTCTATTAATTGAAATTGGTTATCGAGCCTTAAGGGCCGTTAGCAACGGAGTCAGTTACTCCCAACGTAGTCTTCGTAAGAAGAGAGCCATTGCCAACCGCCCGGCACATCCATATGAGCAGCCAGCCACAGTGGCAATTACGTCTTCACCCCTTCCCCGGACCAGCCACGGTGGCAATTGGATCGCAACTCTTCACCCTCACGTACAGCGGCGAGGGACAGTGCGAGGCTGCACAACTAAAATATAATTGGCACCCAACTTTAATACCGAATCCGCGAGACAAAAATATGTAAGTGGGCTGATCAAAATTAATTAAAACTTCAAATACACATACATGGAATAAATAAATAAAAATCCCTACAAACTATTTACCCAAAATTAAAAAATATACAGTTTGAATAAAGCAATTGTAAAGGTGACTTACAAATAAAGTGATTTAATATCGGCGGTCCCTAAATAAAATTTTACTTCGGACGCCAAGCACCCAGTTATTAATATAAAATTATAATATACAAAATTAATTTGTCGAATTAAAACATTCGGCCTCCCAATAACGTGTGTTTAGTGTCAACAAATTAGTAGCCTTATGAGTTTTCCAGGCCCATATAGGGAAACTAAACACGAACTTGACAGTGACAGTGAAGAAGAATTTATCCGAGATACCCGGAGATATCAACCAGTACGGGCACAACAAGAAAGTAACGCGGAAACCATGAACGCGACACAAATAGAGGCGTTAATTCAGGCCGCATTAACTAGCCAAGAACAGAGGCTCAGAGCCGAATTCGCGGGTCAGATCAACGCCGTTAACCAACAACTTCAGAGCTTGCGTATAGAAGCGCCAGAGGTAGAATCTTACCAGAGGGTAAAGGTAGTACCGGGAGCACCACAGTGCGATATACCATTACATATAGTGAAGTAGATTCCAGATTTTACTGGCATACAAGATGAGTACGTGGCATGGAGGCAATCCGCCACTGATGACTACGAATTATTCGAGTCTTATGAGGGCAGTTCCGCGTTACTATTATTAGAAATAAAATTAAGGGACCAGCGCGCGCACTGCTAGTTTCTTATAATACAGTGGTTAATTTTAAAGCCATACTAGCTAGATTAGACTGCTCCTACGCAGATAAAACATCTTTGCGCTTATTACGGCAGGGACTTGAGTCGGTCCGTCAGGGCGACCAAACACTTATGCAGTACTACGATGAAGTCGAACAAAAATTGACCCTCGTTACAAACATAATTGTCATGACACATGACGACGAAAGGGCTTTGTGACGCTCAGGAGCGCACAGAATAAACATAATATATAAGAATAAACAAATAATAAACATAAGCAGTAGTTATAGATTAAGATAGTAGTAAAATGCAAGAAGCAAGAAGTTAAGTAGGCAAGAAGCCGAAATAAATATAAGTTAAAACGGAAATATTCAAATTTAAATATCCGGGCGGGCGCGCCAAACAAAAGAAACGGTCACACTGACCAACGGCCACCACAAGCCACACGCGTTATGGCACTGGCTATAGGATTAGGAAACTACAGTCACACTGATTGTGACTGGCAAGGGCCGGGAGGGATATAAAAAGGGAGCCGGTGGCCCATACAGATTCACGCATTGGTGTGAGCAAACTTCTCTGGGAGCTAACTGCGGAGTCTTTTTCGGGATAGGGTCTAGTACCCCGTCCACCCAATACATTGTAGTTAGCTTTCTCCCCCCCCTTCCCCTTCTTCCCACCCTCCAAAAGACCGGCCGTCATCAGTGATATCCGACCTTTAGGATCCCACACCCCAAGACCGACCGTCATTAGTGACACCCGATCTTCTGGGGACTCCACCACTCGGTTCTCCGAGGCGCTCCTCGGCCGTCTGCCGAACCGATCCCACCTGGTAAACCCAAGCGGCCTCCACCCTCTTCTCGGAACTGGTAGACCCAAGCGGCCTCCACCCTCTTCTCGGAACTGGTAGCTCCAAGCGGTCTCCACCCTCTGCTCGAAACTGGTAAACCCAAGCGGCCTCTAAACTGTCTCATCCTCATAGACATAAGCATAGCCAAGAGGGACGACGTGGCCGCGACGACGACGCAGAAGTCCCCGGCATCCTACGGGCGGACGAGCCCCTGCAGCACGAACTCTATCTATCATATGTAAACGATAATTCTTAATATACGCATACCGATTCGATTTCACTGAACCCCGCTTACGTGTCATACTCTGGGAACCGGGTCGAACTCTTCCAGCAACCACTCCTGACATAAATAAATGTTGGAACGAACACCTGGACACCGTTGCGCTACTTCAGCAAAGCAGGATCGTTACATGGCGCCCGAACAGGGTTAAAGTGGTTGCAAAGAGAAAGACACCGGTACAGAGTTATGTCGACGTGGGTGTACCTAGCAACAAAGGCGGATCTGATCGAGTACGCAAGGGAGTTCGGATTAGACGCAACAGGAAAAGTGGAGGAGCTAAGACAGATACTATCAGCATTCCCAAGGAACCCAAACCACACGGAGACGATCAGGCGAAGACTGGGAGAGCTAGCAGAGAAGCACAAGAAGGAAAAAGGAGCAACGGATCAGAGCAGGACACCAGCGGAGGAACTCAACACAATAGCGAACCAGATCGGCCTACCGGTGAAACAAATCAACACCCCACCACGGCAGGAATCATAAACTCCAGACATGCCGGACAGGAAGGAAGTGGAAATCCTAGACCGAGTAAGGAGTTGGGGGATCCGCTACCAAGGAACAACCAATCCCTTGGAATTCCTCAGCAAGATGGAGGAATGGGCCAAAGGCTACGGCATACACAAAGATGCCCTGATCCAGACGATGCCGTTCATCCTAGAAGGAGTAGCAGTGGACTGGTGGAACACCACACCAAGCCAGATAAGGACATGGGAGGACCTCAGGGAGGAACTGTTAGAATACTTTTGGCCACCAAGATATCAGGAACAGTTGGAAACACAAATAACGCAAATACGGCAGCGAGAAACAGAGCTAACAAGGGAATACGCAATGAACCTGAGGAAATTGATGAGATTCACAGAGTATTCAGAAGAGACAAAGTTGGACCGGATATACAGAAACTGCAGAAGCAAAATAAAGCTCTACACGAGACGGTCGGGATTTAAAACATTAACAGAATTCCTGAGTTTGGCAGAAGAGGTGGAAGAAATAAAAACAATGGAAGGTCTGTTGGTTACCAATAACAACAGGAAACCAGAACTTGACGTCGGAAATCTGCATGAGATGCGGAGGAACAGGAAACGCCGCAAGAACCTGCACAAACCCCCCAAGACTGTTTTGCTGGGTATGCGGCAAAATGGAACAAGAACAACGGACTGTTGCAGAGCTGGAGCGGTAAACGCCAGAGGCCTGAGCAGATAACACTGGCGGCTCAGGACCAAAAACAAATACCAGCTACATGGGAACAATTAAGTTGTGACGGATTTCAAATATTGGCCACAGTAAAAATCGAACCAGTAAAAGCAAAAGGAACAGTGGACACAGGAGCTTCACGGAGTGTGATCAGCAAGAGAAGATACAACGAATTGAGAAAATATGGAAACGGATCAAAGCAAAGATCGGATGGAGATTTTACAACCAACAGTTCGCAGGAGAAGAATTCGAGTTGGACTTTCTCATCTTAAATCAGGTGACAGGAGGAATATTATTAGGAATAGACTTTCTGGTCAAAACTCGCACAAGAATCCAATGCGGCAACCTGGAGTTAGATATCACCGAGGCAGAGACAACACAAGAAGAAAAAGAACCCGGGCAGAGCACAGACGATACGGAACCGACGGAGGAGGAGATCAGCAAATTTCTGGAACAACAAAGGCAAGTATTCGAGGGAATGAAGGGAAACAGTAATATCACGACACATAAAATTTACATGAAGGACGACAGACCGGTAAAACGACGATACTACCCACGAAACCCGAAACAACAGGCGATAATAAATGAGCAAGTGGATGAATTGCTGACATTAGGATTGATTGAACCATCACAAAGCCCATACAGCACGCCAGTAGTATTGGTAAAAAAGATGAACAACGAGTGGAGAATGTGTGTGGACTATCGACTGTTGAACGAAAGAACAGAAAAAGACGCCTACCCGGTACCGAGAATGTACTTTATCAGCTAAGAGAAGCAAAGTTCATAAGCACGCTAGACCTGAAATCGGGGTATTGGCAGATACCAATGGAAGGTCTGTTGGTTACCAATAACAACAGGAAACCAGAACTTGACGTCGGAAATCTGCATGAGATGCGGAGGAACAGGAAACGCCGCAAGAACCTGCACAAACCCCCCAAGACTGTTTTGCTGGGTATGCGGCAAAATGGAACAAGAACAACGGACTGTTGCAGAGCTGGAGCGGTAAACGCCAGAGGCCTGAGCAGATAACACTGGCGGCTCAGGACCAAAAACAAATACCAGCTACATGGGAACAATTAAGTTGTGACGGATTTCAAATATTGGCCACAGTAAAAATCGAACCAGTAAAAGCAAAAGGAACAGTGGACACAGGAGCTTCACGGAGTGTGATCAGCAAGAGAAGATACAACGAATTGAGAAAATATGGAAACGGATCAAAGCAAAGATCGGATGGAGATTTTACAACCAACAGTTCGCAGGAGAAGAATTCGAGTTGGACTTTCTCATCTTAAATCAGGTGACAGGAGGAATATTATTAGGAATAGACTTTCTGGTCAAAACTCGCACAAGAATCCAATGCGGCAACCTGGAGTTAGATATCACCGAGGCAGAGACAACACAAGAAGAAAAAGAACCCGGGCAGAGCACAGACGATACGGAACCGACGGAGGAGGAGATCAGCAAATTTCTGGAACAACAAAGGCAAGTATTCGAGGGAATGAAGGGAAACAGTAATATCACGACACATAAAATTTACATGAAGGACGACAGACCGGTAAAACGACGATACTACCCACGAAACCCGAAACAACAGGCGATAATAAATGAGCAAGTGGATGAATTGCTGACATTAGGATTGATTGAACCATCACAAAGCCCATACAGCACGCCAGTAGTATTGGTAAAAAAGATGAACAACGAGTGGAGAATGTGTGTGGACTATCGACTGTTGAACGAAAGAACAGAAAAAGACGCCTACCCGGTACCGAGAATGTACTTTATCAGCTAAGAGAAGCAAAGTTCATAAGCACGCTAGACCTGAAATCGGGGTATTGGCAGATACCAATGGAAGGTTTCAGTCGGCAATACACAGCGTTCACGGTACCGGGACGAGGCTTGTTCCAGTGGAAGGTCATGCCGTTCGGACTCACAACCGCACCTGCCACATTCCAGAGAGCTTTAGATACGGTCATAGGCCCAGAGATGGAGCCATTCGCGTTCGCATACCTGGACGATATCGTGGTAATCGGAAGGAACAAAAAAGAACACTTGGAGAAATTAAGAGAGGTTTTCAGAAGGCTACAAGCGGCAAACCTAAAAATAAATGCGGAAAAGTGTCATTTCTTCCAAACCGAGTTAAAATACTTGGGACACATTGTAACCGACAGAGGCATCAGAACGAATCCGGAGAAAGTGGCAGCCATTCGAGAATTACCAACCCCAAAAGGCACTAAGGAAGTACACAGCTTTTTAGGGATGGCATCATGGTACAGGAAATTAATCCCTGGGTTCACTAAGAAAGCAAGTGCCTTACAAGACCTGGTAAAGAAAGGGAAAAATTCGAATGGCTGACCCAACATCAAGAGGCTTTCGAGAAGATTAAAGAAAGTTTAACAATGGCACCAGTACTAGCATGCCCAGACTTCACAAAACAATTCAAGCTACAGACAGACGCAAGCGATCTGGGGATAGGAGCAGTACTAACCCAGGAAGACGCCGAGGGGGAACATGTCATCTCGTACGCAAGCCAGAAGCTGAGCAAGGAAGAGAGGAACTATAGTGCCACAGAAAAAGAGTGCCTGGCAATCTACTGGAGCATCAACAAATACAAAATGTATCTGGAAGGATACCGATTTGAAGTGGTGACGGATCACCTAGCGTTGAAATGGCTAAACTCTATAGAAAGCCCTTCAGGGAGGGTAGCCAGATGGGCACTCGGACTACAACCGTTCCAATTCGAGATTAGATTAGATACTGTCAGGGCGACTGGTTGAAGGAAGCATACGAGGAGGCGCAGAAAGACCCAAGCAACGAGGAATTCAGAGTAGAAGGAGAAAGGCTCTACAAAAGATGCGGGAGAGAAAGGGATAGACAACCACGGAAGCTGTGCATTTCAGAAAGCGAGATTCAAACGGTGCTTAAAGAAAACCACTGCAACACAACAGCGGGCACATGGGGATATTAAAAACGCAGAGGAGGGTTATGCAACGATATTTTTGGTCCAGAATGCAGACGGACATTGTAAAATTCGTAAAGGCTTGCGAGAGCTGCCAACGATACAAATTGTCTCAACAAAAAAACACGGGGAAAATGCTGTCAAGAATAACCGAAGCACCATGGGAAAGCTTATGTGTCGACTTCGTCGGACCTCTACCACGCACGAAGCATGGAAACACCACACTAATAGTGATAGTGGATAGGTTTTCAAAATGGACCGAACTCGCGGCAATAAGGAGGGCAACGGCAGAGGCATTCCTGAAAATATTTCGTGAACGGATAATCGCCAGAGTTGGTGCGCCAAAAACACTGATATCAGACAATGGGGTCCAGTTTACGGGAGGAAAAACAAAGACCGCCATGGAACAGTGGGGCATACAGCAACAATTCACGACACCACATACGACGCAGCAGAACCCAACTGAAAGAACAAACCGAACCATAAAAACCATGATATCAAAAATGGCAGGGGAGGAACAAACTAGGTGGGACGAGAATCTGCCGGAGCTAATGCTAGCATATAACAGCAGCACATCCGAATTAACGGGATTCAGTCCAGCACAAATACTGTACGGAAGAGAACTTCGACTGCCGGGAGCACTATTCGATAGGGTCACCAAAGGGTCAGGATTAGCGACAGAAACAGTGGCAGCGAGGTGGAAGAGACTACGAGGCATCAGAAGCGAAGCGATCGAGAACATGGAAGGAGCAGCAGAGACACAAAAATACCATTACGACCTACGTAAAAGAGAATGGAAGCCAAGTGTTGGACAGCTAGTCTGGTGCTAAACACACTACCTATCCAACGCAGCGGAAAAATTCAACGCTAAATTAGCACCGAAATATGACGGGCCGTGGGTAGTATACAAATTTTGTTCGCCGGTGATAGTTAGGTTAAAAAGTTGTAAATCGAAGAAAGCGAAACGCGCATACATTGGAGATTTAAAAATATATATTGACACTAACCATGAACTAACCAACCTTGATAATAAAGAAACAGAAGGTAACTCAAGCGATGTATTGTTAATTTCAGAAAACAACAACATGAACAAATGCGATATTACGAAGAAGAAGTTCCGGGAGAGCAGCACACGGCTGCAGCAAGAAAGACGAGCGGCGAGGCTAATACCGGCGAGACCAGCAGGGGCGGGCATACAGATCAGGACAGCACCGACTCGCCTCAGACCACCCATGTGCAGGCTAGCTCTGCTACAAAGAGAAGAGCCGTCGCAACCAGAGGGTCAACAGACAGCCCGACCGCCAGCAAGAACGGCCATGGCGACCGCTAGAGGCGAACGGATCCGGATCGCCCATGTTCCCCGCAGCCCCCTTGAGGCAGTGGCCGATAGGAATGTTCAGGAGCAACAGGTAGAACGGGCAAGGACACCGTCGCCAGACCGGGACATCCTGGAGCTGCACCCGAAGGACACGGAGGCGCAAGCGGCGGAGGCACAGGCAGAGGGAACGGCAGCAGGCCATGAGACGGAGGCACGCCCAGACTCACAAGCACCACAAGCGGAGTTGTTCATGAACGAGATGGGGTGGATCTTACCAAGGGATGCAACGATGTCGGCCAGGGCGGTCGACGAAATTAAAGAAAGGTGGAACAGAAGGAGAAAGGGAAAGCAGCAGAGCATATTGGTAAAAGACGAGCGAAAGACGTGGAAGGTTATTTTTGGAAGGGGAACCCGAATTACTATAAGACACTTCGTGCCTTCTCAAGAGGGGGGGAGGTGTGACGCTCAGGAGCGCACAGAATAAACATAATATATAAGAATAAACAAATAATAAACATAAGCAGAGGTAATAGATTAAGATAGTAGTAAAATGCAAGAAGCAAGAAGTTAAGTAGGCAAGAAGCCGAAATAAATATAAGTTAAAACGGAAATATTCAAATTTAAATATCCGGGCGGGCGCGCCAAACAAAAGAAACGGTCACATTGACCAACGGCCACCACAAGCCACACGCGTTATGGCACTGGCTATAGGATTAGGAAACTACAGTCACACTAATTGTGACTGGCAAGGGCCGGGAGGGATATAAAAAGGGCGCCGGTGGCCCATACAGATTCACTCTGCGGCCGACGGCGATCGGAGAAGGTAAGGCTTACGCATTGGTGTGAGCAAACTTCTCTGGGAGCTAACTGCGGAGTCTTTTTCGGGATAGGGTCTAGTACCCCGTCCACCCAATACATTGTAGTTAGCTTTTTTAAAGTTGTATTTAGCTGTTGTTTTGTTCTTCTTCATGCATTCTCCCCCCACCATTCCTTTCCATGCAATCTATTCGAATTTCTTATCTTAAATTTAAAAAGGTGTTTTTTTTACAAAATGTCGTAGGAAACTAAGCAAACGCATTGTCGTACTTAATAAAGTTCAATAATAATCATACGTATAAAGTTCAATAATGAGTCTCAAAGTTTAGTGTTCTTAAGTTTTTTTAAAGTGAACTACCCCTTTTACTTGTCAAGTTTTTTTCATCAAAAGCTATTTTGAGATTGTGAAGGGCTTTTGTACAACCAAAATTATATATTTTTATAAAATAATTACATAACAAAACAACAAAAAAAACTAATATTATAAAAAAGAGTTACTAAGCTCAGAAAATATTTAATCCTGTTGTCCGTTTAATCCCATTAATTTCGACACCACCCAAAATTGCTTTGCAGAATGCAATAACTAATATTCAAAATAACAATGACTCATACTGTTGATTTCGGCATTAACAAACTTTTCAAATAACCTTAGAAGGAGCAAAACCTATGGAGTTGATATTACTGGAGAGAAATTTTTATATAAATAGTAATTTTAGATTTTAGTGGATTGACATTTGACATTGGTCCTCTCTATCAATCTGGAGTTGAAAAGTCAACGTATATAAATATACTCTTCCTGAAGGGAGAAGGATTTGGTCACTAAACATTGATAAAAAATATTTCAAGATCGAATTTCGGTCGTTATGTACCTTTTAACTTATTTAGTTACATTTTGTAAAGACCTGATTTATAATATCTTGCTCGCTACGTAATAATACAACAATCGTTATCGAATCGAATAGACGCACTTTTGTAAAGCTCCGCTTTAAACACGGAAAAACACCTTAAACACGGATTAAAAAAACCAAAAACTGCTTAATGCAGTAGCATAAATAAGAGTAAAACACATAAAAATTCTTTTTGCCCGAAATAAATCGATTTTAAGCTATAAAACTCGCTTCTTAATAAATCAACAATTTTAAGTGCAACAACAAATCATTAAAAAAACAGTGCATAGCATAACACAAGTGCACTGAGAAAACACTCAACACATCAAAGGACTCAACCGAAAAACTCTCGTCATTAACACAACACCAACTCAAAGAAGAAAAACAAAACAAAACATGATTTTACCAGAAGGAAAACGTATGATTTTATTTCTGATAATTCAACACGGTTTTTTGGCTATAGGGACTATAAATCAATCAATTTCAACAACCTACTAACTGAATTTAAGAATTATGACTGGACAAACATTTATGACTTGACTTCGCCACAGGAGCATTCGACGGTTATTTGAACACTGTGTTCCATCCAGAACAAAAATAGAAAAATTAAAAATCAAATTCGCCTGCGAGATAATGCCTACAAACGCTGGAAAAGGTATAAAACCTATACAACTGAGAAACTTAGTCACAAGCTCGATCTCTTCTTCCAAACCTAGATTTTATAATTATAAATTTGCCAATGCAGTAACTCCTGGTCAAGTTTGGAAGGGTTTCAGAAGCCTGGGCATGGGAAAACGAAATGCAGTGGCTAAATCGGATCTTGATGTAGACTCCCTTAATAAGAAATTTTCAGATGTTCCTTCCGTCATTCCTACACATAATTTTTACCTGAACTCAACAACATCCTGTGATATTATTTTTAGCTTTATGTGTGTACGTTCATGTGATGTCCTTGAATGTATATGTTAACACTGTTAAGGAGTAATCATAAGTCGATACAGATCTTGGGTGATTATTGGATCATCCTAGTGTTTAGTTGCAAAATCAGCACAAACATCTTTAGGGGCCGTGCCTGGTTCTTGGCGGTGCACGGTATGGTGAGTTATGTTGATTTTGCTAGTGTCAGCACTTTGCTGCACGAGCGGTCGGCTTGCCGGCCGCGCATAGCTTACGTAAAGTCATATATGTTTTCAGTTTTAATTTGGACATTTAATAAAGAGCATTGGCTTGAATGTAAAACTCCGGCAGTGGCCGTCAACACTTACTCTATTAATTGAAATTGGTTATCGAGCCTTAAGGGCCGTTAGCAACGGAGTCAGTTACTCCCAACGTAGTCTTCGTAAGAAGAGAGAAGAGAGCCATTGGCAACCGCCCGGCACATCCATATGAGCAGCCAGCCACGGTGGCAATTACGTCTTCACCCCTTCCCCTGGACCAGCCACGGTGGCAATTGGATCGCAACTCTTCACCCTCACGTACAGCGGCGAGGGACAGTGCGAGGCTGCACAACTAAAACATAATTTATACTTAAAGTAAAATCAAATGCAGAAGGTCTAGATAACGTTTGCCCCAAATTTATAAAAATGTTGCTCCCAAAACTATTTTGTTATATTACCTATATATTTAGTACAGTTGTTACCACGTCAATGTTTCCTGAATGCTGAAAAATTGCTAAAATTTTGAACGTCCCGAAATCAAAAAATGAATTTAAACCAATTCCAACCAATCTTGCCTTTCCTTGCAAAGTCCTTTCAGCAATTAGTTGCCCTGCAGATGCAAACTCAATTGGAGAACAATAATTTTCAAAGTAGTAAGCAATCAGGTTTCAAAGAGCACAGAAGTTGTACAACTGCCATTTTAAAGATATCCGAAGGTATTCGCCAAAAAATCGATTACAGCAAAGTAACCCTCCTAACACTTCTTGACTTTAGCAAAGCATTTGACTCGATAAATCACGAAATACTCTGCACAAAGATTCGCACACTGTACAATTTCTCTTCAAATGCAATAGACCTCATCCTAACATATCTCACAAAAAAGGTGCAGACCGTCGACTCCGGGTCGCTAAAATCTTCCTTTCTGCCTCTTTCAGGTCCACAGCTTTTCTCGTTATATGTAAATGATCTCCCTAAATGTATTTCTGTATGTGATGTGCACCTATGCAGATAATGTTATAAGTTAACACGCGCAACCGAAATGCAAAAAATCTGCCGAATTGCGCACCGGATACAATAGCCAACACGCGCAAGGCCAAATTAGCTGACAGCGCATTCCGGGGATAACGCTGATCGTTGCTGGGCAGACAAAAAGTGCTGACCCTGCACTAACGCGACTGCGTCGTCGCCCAAGTGAGGCCTGAAGTTGCAGCCGCGGTAATTTATAAGTCAGTCTAAAATATTATTCCGGGGCTTAAGCTTCGTTATAAATCCGAATAATTAACCTATGCCCTAACGGGTGTATGGAAATAAAGGAAATATAAAAAAATAAAGAACACAATTCATTAATTGGCGCCCAACTAAACTAAAGAACCCAACAAACAAAAAAGTAATAAAGTGAACAACAAAAATCACACCCAAAAAAGTGAAGCAAAACAACTGGCAAACGCCAGAATTTAAACTCACAAATCACACTGCAAGAGTAAAAAATATTAGTTCAAAAAATAATCCAAAAAAGTTAAACAACCACGAAAAGCCGGAGTTGAAAATAAATAATACTAAATGGCAAGTGTAAAAAAGTAAAAAGGTTTAAAAAAAAAAAAAAATCATCATAGTTCAAAAATCATAAAGTGAACAAAAGGAATGAAATAAAAAACACACACTTAGAAAACGGAGCAACCGTGAGAAGTAAAAAGTAGTTACAAGTCATACTGCTGCTACTGGAAAAAATTTTTTTTTGTTTAAAAACCACCGACTAGGCGCCGCTGCCAACCAAACCCCTCGCACCGCTCGAGGGTACGACAGAAGTCAACGAAGCCACTGCCGCCAGCCAAACCCCTCGCCCCGCTCGAGGGTACGACAACCGTCAGCAGTAGCCGCCTTCATCAACCAAATCCCTCGCCCCGTTCGAGGGTACGACAACCGCCAGCAGTAGCCGCCTTCATCAACCAAACCCCTCGCCCCGCTCGAGGATACTACAACCGTCAACGGAAGCCGTTGCCACCGACCGGCCCCGCGGCCCGCACGAAGAACAGAAACGTCACCGAAGAAGCAGCCAATAAAATAAACATGTAAGTGGGCTTCTTGTTTTTGTTCTTGTTCTTGTTCGCAACGAAAAATAAATTAAATTTCAATAAAGTGGCTGTAGAACAATTCTGCATATTGCAACAAATATATTTTTATACAAAGAAAAATTCAGTTCGCACTTCGTGCCTGCCTACACAGAGAGAATATTTTTTGTATTCTTTTTCTATATAATAATTAAAGATTAAAAATTACAAAAGTTATTTTTTCCCCAAAAATCTTTTGTAAGTGCATTTAAGAATTCAACTTAAGCATATTAATAAAAATTATAAGTGAAAGTTTAAAATAAATAAATGGAATAAAATAAATATATTCCATCTTTATGAAAAAAAATTCTCGCTCGCGCATAAAAAATCTAATGTTCAGAAACAACGACACAGACTCATCGGGCGATGAACTCATAGAGGAATATAAGCAACTTTTAGCACAAAAAAGTGGGGGAATACAAGCAGAAAATAGCGAAAGTGAGGACTGTGAGCCCTCATCCAGTAGGGCCAATATATCCTTAAGGAAAAGTACTTTGGATAATTTTATTCCAATAAATACCCCCTCACAAGAACCACAAACCATGCAGCCCGAACAAATCGCAAGCATGGAAGCGGCCATAAGTGAGACCCTAGAAGGACAGCAAAGGCTGTTTGACGAAAAATTAAGTGTAATCATGGGGGA